GCAGGAAACAACGGAACCCTCGTCGTGGCTTACGTCCCGACTCAGAGACGTAAGCGTAGCCATCAGGCCCAGTCGCCAGTATGGCAGTCTATATGCTATCGGGTAAAACTGGGAATGCAAAACGTGACATTGCAGTTGGTGGCCTGAATCTCGGAAGGCGCGGACAGGATACCGGGAGAGTCTACCGGCGAACTCAACACCGATCATCAAAGTCTACATCGGGAACCATCGCGGGATGATGTCGAGATCGTGAAGGGATCAAATCCCGGGTGGGCGAAACGACACCAGTATCACGTTTGGTAACAGTTTACGCAGGTGGGTGTCGGCTCCAACAACACCAGTCTGGTGGCGCGTCACCGTGATCGTGGAAAACACGATATCACTAACTAAGCATCTTCCTACCCGACAACATTACACTTCATGGGGTTAGCGCAACCCTGAACCATTATCAGAAAACCAGTTGGAAATTATCTCGTAGTAGTATATTATAGTAATGGCTAGTCATCACCCCAACACTACGCTTAACGACCCTAGGGGACACGGAGGGATTCGATCAACCTGGGTGTGGAAGACACCTTATACATCCTGCACCTCAAAGACAACGTGTATAGGCGGCTGTGTCGTTATCAGATTTTAAAGAGCCTGAATAGTTAGTCAACTTAACCCTCACCTCACCTTATATCACATTAAAGGAAACATAGTTCTATCTCTGAAATTAAGAACAGCGGTATCTTGCCCGCGTGTTTCTTGGTTCCGGGCCCTAATACAAGGATTATACTTGAGCTGAGTTTACCTAATATGTTACAGCCATTCCACGGGGTGAGTTAAGGTATGACTGCTATGGGCACATAGGATTCCATCTATGGTACCAGGCTCTACACTTATCATAGAAGTCCATCTCGAAAGAGTTAATCGTAATAATATGAAAACAACAACTTTTACCTAGGGTGATAGTATTATGGGATCCCCGAACCGTGCTAGTCAACGTTACCATATCATCATACAAACCGACCCCCTAACGGGTTCTATAACCCTCAATAACCCTCCCTATGGGGGTATTGTACGCAGACTTACCTATTAAATTCGCCTATTTGCCTACATGAGGATTTACACCTTATAAGCCCTCAAGTACGTTGATCGACTGTTAAATGAAACCCAATTAAAATATCTTTTGTAATATATATTATAGGATGGGTCTGTACCCAGTCGTAGAGGAAGTAGCGAAGACACTGGAAACAGTAGACAGGTTCCGCTTGAGGCAGTTATGTGATGTAAAACGCCAACTAGAACAAGACTGCGACACGCGTAAAGCACTATGTAAGAAGTACCATAGAGCTTTCAATATCGTGGACGGGCTGACACTGCCCCTATGGCAACCAGCATGGGGCTGGGAGCGGCTGGTGTTGGGTTGTTAGCTACCATCGTGGCTACCCCCGTAGTGCTAGGCATTGAAATAACAGCTGGGGTGGCCAGGGTGTTAGGGGTTGGCGCTTAAGTTTGCATCACGCAGACTTCATCGTAAGGCATTGAAACACGATGAGATCAGGGTTCTGGCCGAAGCAAAGCTGAACACAGTAATTGAGCGTATTTCGTGTGCGGTTGGTACTTTGGTATATATGTGGTTGGTACCTGTCGGGATATGTGTGTTCGGTACCGTTATATGTGGTTGATATTGTCGGTATACGTGTGTTATGTTCTGTTAGCATATGTGTATGGTACTGTCGGCATATGTTTAGGTGGTACTATTGGTATATGTGTGGTTGGTACCTGTTGGCATATGTGTGGTTGGTACCGTCGGTATGTGTGTGGTTGGTACTTTTGTATATGTGTGGTTGGTACTTTTGGTGTATGTGGAGATGGTACTTTTTACAATTTTCACCTTCGTAAATATTGTCTTTTCTAGTGTAGTAGGTCGTTTAGGATATATTTGTAAATATGTGTAAAATTTATGAAATGAGTTGGAATGGTCAAGGACTCTTAAACCGATTCAACAACTGAGGCTAGTTGATAATCATACTTAGGTTACAGCTGTGTAGGCGCCAAGTAACCACATCACTCTGTATAAGTGAGGTGCGGTATATTCTGACAGTCAATAAGTCAAACAAGCCCCGACAATACACGATGCAGTCTATGATACAACTAGATACGTATTTTGTAACCCTGAAACTTTACTCTAAAAGTGTACATTAAAACAAAGGAAATTGTGGAATAGAGCTCTAGAGACTAGACCATATTGTGATTCTTCCTAGATCACATGTGTCTTGTAATGTGGCAATGTGACGATACGTTCACTATCTCCACTCATACAACTGGAAGAACACTATTGCACTATTATACATGTAGAAAGCTAAGGATAATGGTTGTTAAAACAGAACATGAATCATAAATTATAATGCTCTTGGGCTTTACATGAGTACCTACAATAACACGTGAAGTTTGACTTTAATTTAATGAAAATGCCACTGCTACACTTACACTGTCGGGGATTTTCAATCTACTAAATTTCCAATAAGAACAATTCAAATGCTGAAGATAGTGTGAATATAGTTTTACATTGTTTCCGATCAGTTGAACGTCATAGATGTAGATGTAAGTGCAATAGTGATATGATTGTTTAATGTGTTATTGAAGCAACACAGGGTTAGTACAGACGAAGTATATGATTATTAGTATGGTTAAATATGGCAGAGATAACAATATTTGCACAGACAGAGTCAAAATCTTTATTACGTGTGAAGCCCACAATCCTATGTAAATATTAATATACATATTCCAAACATGTATTAGTGAACGAAAAAAGGAAACAATTTCACAAAATGTATAGCATTTACCTGTCTACCTGCATAGACCCTCAGTACAATATATTAGTAACATATGTATAGCTGTACTGGAATCTTCAGAATTGTAAAACCTATTTTCTGTTTTTCTAACTTTACTCTCATTTCATATGCATAAGAAATAAAACGAGCTAGATTGGTAAAGTTGTTATTCAATATTTTGCCACCTTCCTACGTCATTCTTTAAAGACACCAGCTCTGAATTTGATCAATACTTTACATAATGCATATTCCCAATTGGAAGACAGATATCCCTCTGGCTCAAGAAGAGTTTTATATTCTGTATATAACTTATGACGTGACCTGTTTTCAAGAGCAGGTGTCCAATTTTGGTAAAACATGTTGATCATGTATCAGAGTATCAGAACACGTAAGGTCAGAAAGAGCTGTTCCGCTCATCAGAAGCAATAACGTTCTGTAACGAATGAACAAAGACAAGGTTAGAATCAGTTCTACGTGGATTTGGATCTCGGTTTGAATTCCATAATTATCTTCCCCTGATTCATTAAGAGGCAACCATCCGCAATAAGGGTCGCTCTAACTCTAAAATAGTGTTCAAAGCAGCGTTGAGCTAAATTCACTCATCAGAAAATGGGGAGCCTTAAGTATATCTTCTCGCTCATTGCGGTTGTGGATTCCGTTGGTACAGCGTTGTCCGCATCTTGTCCTTTTTTCATCCCGCTGAGACGTGTCCCTGGCAGCGAGCAGGATGTTGTGCATTGCGTGTAGGTACAGGATGCTGGTGTTGGTGTTGGTGAACTTTTCTGCTGTATAGTTCTTCACAACACTGATACATGTTTGAGGCAACCCTGTCTCCTTAGAAGCATACTCCACCGCTTTCCGAACCTCCTCAGAGCCAAACACGTATGGAATATTGTCGGAATCCTTCAAGAGTGGTTCAACTGCTTCAAGGTGTGTCAGGATCACGTGAACCGACAGAACTGAAGAGAAACATTCTCATGTAAATCATTCATCTTTACACACCAAGGACGTTTTGAAAATTGAGCCTATTTTTTTAAATGTAGTATTTACCTTAACTTTTATTGAATAGGCTATCATCTTCACAAACACGTTTTGATTACTTATAAGTTGCTGGATGTGAGCAATCATATTGCAATTTGAGTAATAAATACCACGTGCGTTGTCTAACGTTAAACTCTAATTTCGTCTGTTGTGCCTGTCAAAGACGTCAAACGTAACCTTGATACACCCGAAAACATAACCTTTGCCCAATGATGACATAATATGTCCAGCAATTCTTGCGACGTGAGCTTAACTTGCTCCCAACTGGACCATACCAACTGCTCTCCCCTTGTAGGTCTCGGCATGTATCCTTCCCGTGTTCTCCGGTATTTTATTGTTGAATGATCAGGTACAGTCAGGTCATGGGTGCAGCGATTTGTTATTGGTAGAGAAATACTATCATCTGCATTCAATTGACTTAAACTATTTGCAGTTAAGAGTAATAATTCAGTATAATTAGAACAGTTAATATCTGAACAATGTATCTGATTTTTAAACTGGGCTGGAACAATACTCTTGTCAAGCAAGATGGTTCAATTATGAAACTAAATGTAGAACACTTTTAAGCATAAACTGTGTTCTTGAATATTGCTGTACATTTCATTTGGCAGATGGTTTCATACAATATTAAGCATTCAAAAAAAATAGTTAACCTTACTATCTAGTTTTGATCGTTTGATCAATCAACAAATAAGCTCTGTTACGTACATTTATGCTAATTTGTTGAATGGCGCAGCTGAAAATAGTTCCGGCAAAAGTCTTATTTTGGTCAAAGTGATGTGCTGATTGTATATTTTCAGGTAAGTACAATATTAACTGCAGTTTTCATCTCTAAATAAATAAGCACTATATAAAAGGTACAGTTACCTCCTCGTGAATGTAGTTCTCTCAGCACATTTATCTCTCCCTTTACGTGATCGGCTATTGTAACCCCTGCTTTTGGACAATAACTACACACGACGCCTTGACCCTGTCCTGTGGTGGAAGGATGCTGGAGCTATCCATAGCTTCTAGCGTTGGTTTGATCTGAGCATAAATGAAAACAATATTCTTCACACAGTCTTTGAAAAGCCAGACAAAATGAAACTGACTAACACACAGATAATAGAGCAAAGATGGAAAGTAGAATACATCTTCAATAAAACTTCGGGCACAGGTTATGTTGCATCGTCTTTGCCTGGGTCAAAGATTAATTTCTGACACCTCTGGCAGTTTTCTGCGGATTTCAAACCGAAAAGGCACTTCATTACTTTTATTATGCTAATATAGACTGAAAACGCACCACCAGTAAAATGTATATTTATCTGGGCGTAATTCATCTGAAAATATATCAGCGAATGAGGCATACACAATGTTCTTGACAAAGCATGATGAAAAAACCATCCCTAAATCCACTGCGTGAGCGACATCACCAAAACGCAACCAAGTGCGTGCACATCAAGGAAAATGTGTTGTCTTTTGTCAGGAAAAGCATTCAGAATAAGACTAAACGACTGTCTCTTAAAAGCCACATCACTTGTTGCTGTTGACGTGAAGGGTATTGACACAAGAGATGCTAAGATTGACAGTGGAGGAACGTGAACGTGTCTTGGGCATGCTTCAAGTTGGCATGTCAAGTAGAGTTGTTGTGCAGCGGTTTCAGTGCCACCATGCAACCATCCTCAGACTACAGATCAGATAAGAGCAGACAGTGTACAGATACTTCTCTGAGATCACCATTATACAGTTCGTCGCCACCTTGAAGATGCGCTGCGTCAGGTGTGGAATGCTATCCCACAGGACACTGTTCAAAGACTCACTGGGTCAATGAGGAGACATTGCATGGCCTGCGTTGCTGCCAATGGTGGACATGCCCGATATTGACTTCTTATTTTGACCCCATGTGTCTTCCATACACTGGTGACGTAAATGTAATCATTGTGTGTTTTTTTTGTATGCCCTTTGTTGTCTTTCTTAATAATCTATGTATTCCTCTTCTAAATAAAATTGGTTACAGCTCAAGCCGTTTTGTGATATGTCAAGATTTCTTACTGTTGCGTTTTCAGTGTGGTTCAGTATAACATGTACTAGTTCCTTTTAGCTTCGAAATAAAGGTTGGCACAACTCGTGTGAGTCACGAAGGACATTCTTTGTATGAAGGCAAATTTAATGCGCCAAGGTTACTGACAAACAACCCATTGCGGGGTAATGTTGTAAAACTACACCATGACCCTGCTCATTGTGTTACCTGACAAACACAAATACTTGTCAACAATCTTGCCATAGTGCACCAGCCTCGTACACGCTCTGTAGGTGACATTGTTCATTGTACTTACTTCTTCATAGAAAGGAACCGCTCCCGTAACAATCTTCTCAATGCTGTCATCTGTGATGTTGTCATTGTTGAATACGCCCGGCATGTCAATCAACCAAAAGTAGGGCTCGCAAGTGCAGTTTTCTCGACATGACTGACGGCAGAAATCGTCTCGGTGCAACTGCGAAACGCAAACAGGAATCACTATCTATCATAATCAGAGAATCCAGTTACATACTTCCTTCTGTCTGATAGGCTGGTGGCGCGCCACGCATACATTCATACTTGGTTATCACAACCAAGATTTACTTAAACAACCACGATACAAACACAGCATGTGATGCTAAAACACTCCTTTTCAAATGCTGGGCAAGTAGGTGTCTTACTTTTTTAACTTTATTTTCCTTCTATCACAAACCTTTGTCACAATGTCACATATAGAATATTTTGTTATTTGAATGCCATACTATGGATATCATGCCACCAAGAAAAGATTGATACGGTTGCCATAAACAGTAAGATTACCATAATGGCTATGCTGTGGCAATAGTTGAATATACTACTGAGGATTTCTTTAATTATACACATGTAAGCACGCACGCACACATGCATACACTGGTGTATCTGTACACTTGGTGCACCTCTAAGGGGTAAAATGAACATGCATATTCTTACACACCCGTGGGTGAGAAACCCATGTGAGAAAACTGGTATCACATATATGTGTGAGATCGATTTCTAATCCCGTGATTGGCTACTCCATGGTGATGACCTAGGGTCAGGTTATGACGGACTACTTTCCTGATTAAAATTCATTAATAAGTTACTCGTGCTTAAATCGAAGAGAAATCGGTAAAAAATACCCTTTACACCTACCTGTTATTTTCGCGATTGCAACATAAACAGGTATTTATACAATGAGTCACAAGTAGAATAAATATAACACGAATCTATTTATTTTCTAATTCCTTTTATTAAAACTTTTGATTCCTAGTCATGAATTCAAAATGGCTCCAACAATCAGTGATACCTGTGTAAACAATTATGTGAAAATCACCGTTAGAGATAAAGCCCTTGATTCCCTTCGAATATTCAAAATGTACAACACTGGTACTTTTACTGGAGAGATGCGACAAGTGTCATGTGTCGTCTTGCAAAAATACCTGACACGATAACGTCAGTGCCTGTCCATTGTGAGATCGATTTGCCTCGTTGTTTCTTTGATGCATTGATGAAGATGACATTTTTCACTGATACACATGATGAAGACCCACTTCCAGCTCCGAGATACTATGTGATTCCAATGTTATCAAATTCACTCATGACAATCAGAACCAAAACACACTCGTTGAAACAATGTACGACATGGTACGTTTTGCAAGGCTTCATGAGTGCAAATGGCGGCACACGTCCTTTCTATTCAATCGAACATGTACAGGAACGGTTGATCTACACATAAGTCATTGCTCAAGATATTCCTCCGACGCATGATAATGAAAAGTTTATGTCTTGATAACTTACAGGATGTAATCAACTCACATTTCATACTGAAAACTCCGTAAATTCCATTACATTCCAAGTGGCAGTTTCTGGCTCGGGAAAACGAGAAGGATGTGGCGAAGAAGAGTAGTCCCCCATTGATAGTGAACGTAACCTCAGCAATGTCACATTCAAGCACACTGGGTGCACCTAATTACACACACTCAAAAGATGGGAGAACATTGAACGTAAACTGGTACACAAGTACAGATCCCCAATGTGCAGAGATATCCAAAACAATCTTCCGATGACGACAACCACCAAGCGATAACGATGACGTCACTCGCTCAAATATTTTACGCTTGCAAGAATTAAAATCATCCACATTTGCATGGTAACATCATCGTTTTAGAGGGTTTAATTAATTTTCTGTGATCTTATCTAGTTATCATTATCACCATTGCCTTGATGATGCGAAGAGGTGGCAGAAACCTTTTTGTGGAGGGTCACCATGGGGATGAGTAGTGATTAGAAAGCCAAGTGACGTCACTCATTCATAAACGTTGTGTTGTGTATTATTGCGCACCTACGATGAAAAAAACATGAAATTTGAATCTATTCGACCATAAAATGGTGCGATTTTATGGTGTGTAGAAAAAGATCACTGTACTCGTGTCTGTCAGATACCATTTATCTTACAACTCGTTGTTTCAAAAGGCATATTTAACTCGCTTTCGCTCGTTAAATGCGTTTTGAAACAACTCGTTGTAAGATAAATGGTATCTCGACAGACACTCGTTTAGTAATCTCTATTTCACCTTGGAATTATCACATTCAACAACTCACAGTTTTAGTGTAGCTTCCACTTGTTCGAATTCTAATTCCCACAGGAAAATAATTCGAGACGTTCCTGTTCCCTCTCATGGCGGTTTGAATTCCATTTGCAAGAGAGGATTTACCAAATCCAGTCTGTCCAAACAAAATGACGACAATTCCGTTTCTCTGTGTGACTTGGGTTATGCCACGGCGAAGGTTCACTTCTCCCTGAAATGAAACAAGTCTCGGGATATACAAAACAATATAGTTCCATACATAGGTCGACAAGTAGGTTCCACATGTCACTGAAGGCAACATGTATTTGTCTTGATAAGTTAGTTACCTTTTCAAGGATTAGATCTACAGTTTAACGCCAAACTCTTAGTGTTGAATTCATACTTTCAGAAACACCACCAACATGATGGTCACTAACTGGTGACTGACGCATGACGTATCAGTATTATGTCCCAGTCCTATCAGAAACACCACACCAACATGATGGTCACTAACTGGTGACTGACGCATGACTTATCAGTATTATGTCCCAGTCCTATCAGAAACACCACCAACATGATGGTCACTAACTGGTGACTGACGCATGACGTATCAGTATTATGTCCCAGTCCTATCAGAAACACCACCAACATGATGGTCACTAACTGGTGACTGACGCATGACGTATCAGTATTATGTCCCAGTCCTATCAGAAAACACCACCAACATGATGGTCACTAACTGGTGACTGACGCATATATCAGTATTATGTCCCAGTCCTATCAGAAAACACCACCAACATGATGGTCACTAACTGGTGACTGACGCATGGCGTATCAGTATTATGTCGTATAATGGCGTATCAGTATTATGTCCCAGTCCTATCAGAAATACCTCTGGAGTCCAGACCAATGTCACATCTTTCCCCATTTCTCCGTCGGTGGTGGCTGAAACATGACCGCAATACTCAATGTCATTATTACCTCTTTTATCCTAAGAACAACAATGGTATTAAGAAAAGCACCAGGCCCAGACTGCATAACAAATGAACACATTACAAAATGGGGGATACTCTTCCTAAAACATCTCACGAATTTATTCAACATGATAAGACTGCTTTCCTATACTCCAAACTGCTTCAGGACTGGTACAATCATACCTCTTTATAAAGGCAACAATAAAGTGAAGTCCGACCCCTCGAATTACAGAGGAATAACTTTGACATCAGCATTATCAAAATATTCGAGAAGGTACTTTTGGATCGCATTAAAACTATCTGAAGAGTGTCCATTTGGATTTTTCACATAGACTTCAATGGGGTTTTCGAAAAGGATACGACGCTGCAGTGTCAACCTTCGTCGTGAAGAGAATAATCTCCCAGTATACACAGAGAGGATCAAATGTATATACTGCATTTCTCGACAACGAGAAAGCATTTGACCGCATTTGGCATAATGGTCTTCTAGTGAAACTGTTTGATCTTGAAGTACAAGGCCGTGTCTGGCACCTTGTGAACCACAGCTATGAACACTCATGTGCATATGTACTCCATAACGGATGTACAAGAGCCGGGCGCTCAACATAAAGCAAGGTGTAGGTCAAGGGAGAGTACTTTCTGCCTTCATGTTCCTTGTCTACATTAATGACCTCATCACGCAGCTGGATATGCTTTCAAAAGGCCTCGTCATTGGAGATGAACATATCCAAAGCATTCTACTAGCAGACGACACAACATTGCTCAGTCCTCAGCCAAACGGACTACAGGCCATGCTGACCACTCTGCAATCGTACGCTATTAAATGGCGCCTTACGTACAATGCAGATAAAAGCTGTGTGATGATATTCAAAGGCGGTCATTCGGTTGACAAAACTTGTGTTTTAGACTTGGTGAAAGTGTTCTTCCGACAGTGAGTAACATATATGCTGGATCCCTTTATAAGTAATAAACAACAAGACATCAGTATTATGTCCCAGTCCTATCAGAAATACCACCAACATGATGGTCACTAACTGGTGACTGACGCATGGCGTATCAGTATTATGTCCCAGTCCTATCAGAAACACCACCAACATGATGGTCACTAACTGGTGACTGACGCATCGCGTATCAGTATTATGTCGTATAATGGCGTATCAGTATTTATGTCCCAGTCCTATCAGAAACACCATCAACATGATGGTCACTAACTGATGACTGACGCATCGCGTATCAGTATTATGTCCCAGTCCTATCAGAAACACCATCAACATGATGGTCACTAACTGGTGACTGACGCATGGCGTATCAGTATTATGTCCCAGTCCTATCAGAAACACCACCAACATGATGGTCACTAACTGGTGACTGACGCATGGCGTATCACTATTATGTCCCAGTCCTATCAGAAACACCACCGACATGATGGTCACTAACTGGTGACTGACGCATGGCGTATCAGTATTATGTCCCAGTCCTATCAGAAACACCACCAACATGATGGTCACTAACTGGTGACTGACGCATGACGTATCAGTATTATGTCCCAGTCCTATCAGAAAACACCACCAACATGATGGTCACTAACTGGTGACTGACGCATGGCGTATCAGTATTATGTCCCAGTCCTATCAGAAACACCACCAACATGATGGTCACTAACTGGTGACTGACGCATGGCGTATCAGTATAATGTCCCAGTCCTATCAGAAACACCACCTCAACATGATGGTCACTAACTGGTGACTGACGCATGGCGTATCAGCATTATGTCCCAGTCCTATCAGAAATACCTCTGGAGTACAGACCAATGTCACATCTTTCCCACATTTCTCCGTCGGTGGTGGCTGAAACATGACAGCAATACCCAAATGTCATTATTATCTCCTTTATCCTAGGAACAACAATGGTTGGGTAAATCTTCAGTTTTGTATAATGTCACTTAACAAATCAGCAAACATAGTTTACCATACATATGTGATAGAAAAGCATACATATATAGAGCCACCCAGTTTTAGAAATTACTTTACAAATTAAAACAGGGATACACATACCCAGCCATCACCTAACGCCGTTACGCACACAGACACGCACGCACGCACGCACGCACGCACGCACGCAGGCGCGCATAATATATATTATTATGCATATGAATTGCACATATACTTTCAGCTGTTACCGTGTTAGTGATCATGATATGCAAAGAAAAAAGTGTCTATTCTTTCACATCGATTTCCACATGTTACAACGAGACAGCACACCTCAGGCCTACATGTGTAAGATGAGACTGTCAGCCACTTACAGGAGTTGGGGGCCTTTCCTTGGACTGTGTCCATCCCATGACTTCTGGAAGATAAACAGTTGTGTACCTGATCATGGCGTTACTATCACACACATATCGGGACAGTATATTGAGTTGATGGGACGATTTGTATGTGTCACTTTCCTCAAACTGAAGCATGTCACCTGACACAGTATCAGATGTCACAACCATAATCTATAATGTCATACGTGTGTCCACACATACCAAGTGGATTCAGGGAACATTTCTATCAGATACAAAGACACAGTCTGTTTACAATTGAAGTGCAATATGTTCTTTTTAAGGATTTAGAGCAGAACGCACTCCCATGGGGACTACTGTAGCACTGGTCACAGTGTCTGGTGCCATGCTTTAACATCATGATGAGTGACGGAAACACTAGTTAAGGCTATTTAGGAGATAAACCTACGTATTGGGAAAATCAGAAATTATAATAAATTATAATAATTTCATTTAAAACCGAACGCGTAGCGTGAGGTTTTAAACGAACAATTTAGGAGCTATTATACTCCCTGTTATATACCTCTGATTTTCCAAACACAGTAGGTTTTATCTCCATTCTATGACAATTTTATGAACAATTTCAGGTGGAGCTCTTCTTCGGTTACGAGTCAATACGTGAAGCGGCCTCGCATGCCAATCTCAAGTGGTATCGCCCGAAACGGGGTGTTTGGTGGCAAACCGTCAATGACTAACAAACTCCAGATTCAGTAATAACAAATCACGTTTTGTTTTTCAATGCATCAATCACCAATCATTAACTGATAAGTTGGAAAACATATATCAAAAATAAGTTTGAAAAGCTTGGTTCACATTTGAAAATTCCACCGTAGACTCTTTCCCCACCTGCAGAATAGTGGCAGCAACCTCATGGCCTTGACCTTTTCTCTCGAAGTCATTGTTTACATTTGGAAAGATGCGACAGGAGAGCCACTGACAGTTTGCGCAAGGTTAACCTGATTGTATGACTGAGATAGTCTTTGATATCTAATTACTGGTACTGGTACAAAATTTAAGAGTAGGGCTTTTGCTGTAACGAGAGAGTCCGTGTTGTACCGAATTTAGATACTGTTGAATTTTGCGCCCTGTCAACTTCTGACGATTTCACGCACCTCTACGTCTGCGTGCGACAGCTGTTGTGACTCTTACACACTCATGTGTGTACTTTGATAGCTCAAATTCGATTCTACGGATATTATTTTCTACATTTTGGAAAGTGTTTTGTGACCTATAGTGGCTTCAAAGTGTAGTGAATTCAAATTGAATCGGATTCGCTGGCATGTTCGCGAGTCTGTTGACAAAGAGCCAGATTTGTGGTGATATTTCCGAAAGGATGGATCAGGACACGAGGGTGTACCTCTGGCATAAACACGGTAAGGTAAAGGTAATTAATTATACTTTAATAGACTACTTTAGATCAAGCAGTGTAATGGATAAGAGGGATCATGACTAAGCTAAATAACTTTTCAACGATATTATACATTAAGAAAAAAATATGTTGGGCTAAACAGAACGGTTTGCAGATTCTGTAGATCTAATTGTGTTTTACTACCGCTAAATTTGAAACAGTACAAATTTCAAAATATCATTTTGTTTGAAAAGATAACCCAACTGTTTATTTATGTGGACGGAAGGCATTAAAATTAAAATTCGGCGTTCGATGTTAATGCATCCTCCGTTACCGGATCAAGATCAGTGGCGATATCGTTGACGAAAGCTGATAATAAATTTAACACGGAAATTTTGTAGCAGTCTATTGCTGGATCTATTCTGACATAACATAGAATCAACGTAAACATATTTGTTTTTGCTGAATTTTTATTCGGAAAGCACACGATGTTTTGATCTTGTTCGACTGAATATTTGTTTCCATGCTTTCGAAGTACTTTTGTATGTATAAACACCTATTGCTGTGATTTACGCAAGTAGTGAGTCGTGCCCGTCATCGCTAAATCCATCTTTAAAGACATATGTGTAATTTCCGACAGTAAAATCGCCGTAATTTATCGATGCATCGGTAGGTTGTTTTTTTGTCCGCCATGTTAGTGGGCAGACAAAAATAGTGCATTACCGTAAACCATGTATGATTGCGCACGGAAAACAGAGACCTGTATAACGTGATTATATACCTCTGAATGACTTTAATTAACCAATCACAATCTAGTGTTTACTGAAGTCATGGTAGAATTTGTATTTAACCTAACTGATTGCTAAATACCACTCAAAATATCAAGGGTTCAGTTCTATAGACGGAGATGGTTCGCGACCAAACTATGTCCACTTTGAACCATGTTTAAGGCCTTCTATATGTTTGAAGCATCTGGCTATTATCGTAAAGTGTAATGTGCGCTACGGCCGGTTAACCGTGGCTTACGAGTCAACAACACTTATATACTTCAATTTTACATAAATTACGACATGGACATATACAGTATAAGTAATGCACTTTAGTTTAAAAAGAAACATATTATAATACCTTTATACATCCATTCCTACCAACTCATCCGAATAACACGCAAGTGACGCAATATTTTTACATGCCTTTATTTTAAATACGGAGGTTTTGGACGTGTATAACGTATATAATGTTTTCAGTTCCAAAGGCATGGCACCAAAGCGATGTTTGTTTTAAACACATTGTATTTCAGGAGAAAGAAAGGGATTGGCAAACAAGCTCAGAGGGCTTATATAAATGCCTCTCTCGAACATATACATATTTACGGAAGCTATTTACAACAAATCAGTTGCAATGCAGTAATAGAATGTGTTGGTACCACACATTTGCTCGTTGAATAAAATATGGTATTTAATTGTTGAACTTTAAGAATAATTTCTTAAGCCATGTTAAATCTTTTGAAAAGTAGATGAAATAGTGAACAGAGGAGATAATTTTTTTGTGAGTTTCAGAGTCTACATTATAATTACCATATAATACTGAATTTATGTGGTATCCGTTTTGATAAATGTACATTGAGAAACGTAAGTCATTATACAACGGACAGGTGAACAAGTAATGAATGTTGTCTTCTCTCGAGGTGACCCGCAAGGGCAGGCCAGGTTTGAAGAGATGTGTCTATCGAACTTTTTTGGGAATTTATATCGCTACACACCCGAGCCTGATGCGCGCATGGATTATTTGGCATTGCCTATTACCAATATTGATGTCAAAGAAAATACGAGGCGCCTACATAGTAAACGTGTGAAATCAGTGTGATTATTAACAGAACTTGTAGATAGTGGCAAATAATTCCAATGTCTGATTACATCTGATATAAAGGATCTAGCGTAGAGAGTAGATCAGCATTAGATATTGCGAATTTATCCCAAATTTCTTAGTTTGCAGTTACCATTTTGTGATTTAGATGGGATTAAGTTTTGCAAAGTAGGTCGGGGTATACAATTTTGTGCCTCAGCTTAAATTTCTGAATAGATCTTCTTTTCGTCCAATGCGTAAAAAAATTGGTTTAAAAATAATTTCTCTGGTGCCGCGTATATTGTGCGTAGAGCATCAAGGTGTAATTTTTCAAAGGGAAGTTGCTTTGTTCTTTACTACAATTGTCCCAGATGTGAGAACAGTAGTCAAAGAGATGAAGAATAAATTGTTTGCAAAACAAAGTCTAGGGTCTTACGTGATAATGTATATTTCAGAGACCTTAGGCAGTTGATCATCAGGGATGCTTCTCTTGATTATATCGCTAATGTGTTCATGCCAATTACATTTGCTTTGCAAGATGTTTACTTTAGTGTTGATATTATTCATGTGAAGATCAGGAGGTCTAGTAGGTGGTTGTTTGCGTGAAAAAAGTATGCTTTCGGAGTTTTGTTAGGATTGAAAACGACATTCAAATCTCTAGCCCAATTAACAATTTTGTCTAAGCCATTATTGAGGTAGGTAGCAGTAACATCAGGGTTATCAACAATAACGTAAAATGGACGTTTTATCAGCGAATAAACGGATATCGCTATCAATGTTAACAACTAAGTCATTTATGTATATCAGGAATAATAAAGGACCCTAAAACGGAACCTTGCGTGATACTCCTTCATTAACACTAAGAAAATCAAATCAAAATCCATTTATAACAACTTGTTGTTTTCTGTCTACCAAATACCCTTGAACCCATTTCAATAAAGAGCCTGAAATCCCTATTTTTTTCCACTAGTTTATAAATCAAGCCTTCATGCCAAACTTTATCAAATGCTTTACTGATGTCAAGGAAAACAGCTTTAACTTCTTTACCAGTGTCAAGTGCTTTTTGCAATGAAATCATTACAAATAGGTCTGGTATGAAGTTGAGTCACCCGAGTAAAGACTGACTGAAAAGTAGTAATCATATTGCTGTCTCTAACGCAATTGTAGACATATTTATAAACACAGCGTTCAATAACAGACACTGGTCTATAATTGGATCAAGCGTGAAAGGGGAGTAACCCACGCATGTTTCCAGACTGAAGGAAATGTAATTATAAATTAAAGATTTTTGTAAGGGGCATGTTTAGACTGGTAGCCGTAGCTTTAATAAATGTGTTTACAAATTCCATCTGCATCCGATGCTTTAGATGTATTAACAGAGTTTAGCACATCTAGAATTTCGTTAGAAGTTAACATAATTTCGTTTAATTTGACATTTGTTTGTTGAGAGTAATTGAGGTAAAAGGCTTGTGAAGGGTTCTCTTCTGTAGATCGTTGGGATTGTTTGTTTGTTTAGCTCTTCTATATTTCTCTTTCTAATCAAATTTCGAATATTATTTGTAATGCATAGTTTGTCATTTTTTCTGATAGTTGCTACTTTATTAGCAATATAAGTTTGGATTAATGTGTCAGCAAAATAATGAAATTGTGAGTAACCTTGTTAACATGTTCAGATTGGAGGGGGAACTGCCAATCATGGGACATTATACGTCTATTCCAGCTGTCTTCGTCCGTTAAGTTATAGTTAAAGATTCGTCTTTTCTGACATTGTTGCTTTTGCTTTGAATATTGAACACTAACGTGCACTGGACGGTGGTCACTACAAATAGG